GAAGACACATTCGCTCACATTGTACTTTAGTCTATTTTCTCACTGGTTAGTTCCTTCAAAAGCTTCAGTTTCATTGACTTTGCCTAGTCCAGATCAGGCATGCAACCATCCCAAGCTAGGGCTCGCTGATCGGCAGCGAACATATTCAGTAGCGAACCGTTCGGTTGCGAACGGTTTGGTGCCGATCAGCGATTGCTAGTTTGGGATTGTTGCATGCCTAGGTGCACCTTGTTGTAAAGGTAAAACTTCTTCGACTCGAAACTATGTTCTATGAACATATGGTCGTTCATATGACAGCACACTTCGTTCATGCTTTAATAGACGTATATCTTTATCTAAAATGTGGTACAATATTGTATTCTGTCTTTTTCGACACGCATACACATTAAAGGAATTGTCATATTAGAATACTGTTCACAAATAGAAGACGCCAATCGACATCGTTATGTAAAAGTTGAAATAGACGACCCTCTGTTTCTAAGATTTTTTTAGTCAGTTGTACTGCTAACAAAACGATATTCTCAGTGAAACTATTACCACGCCTATATAAAGATATATATTTATCTATCAGAAAAGATTATTTTATGCATAGCTGATGGAAAAATGAAACTTACTCTTGGTTCACCTCTAAAATTTTTAAAAGTCAAGAGAGATTAGAAGATCTGAGTCTTCTAATGTGATAATCCTTTGATGTAATATATCAAAGGCTTGAATAAGTCAGCAACACGGATACTGGTAATATCTTGTATCAACGTTATGGTCTTTCCTTATCTCTATGTCTATTCTTTTATTATAGATACGAAGAAATCAATATTGATTTAGCGAATCCACCTGAATGGTATTTGAAAAGAAATCCAGCAGGAGAAGTACCAGGACTAGAATGGGTAGATCCTAAAACTCAAGAAAAACATTTTCTTGCTGAATCATTAGTTATTAGTGATTATTTGGATGACATCTATCCTGAACATCATTTACAACCAACGGATCCCTATTTAAAAGCCAAACAACGAATTTTAATTGACCGATTTTCAAATGTATATTCTTCGTACATTGCCTTCTTTTGTCTTGCTTATCTAACTATTTGTTTAGGTTACAACAACTTTCTACAGAGCTCGACAAGATAAAGCGGCTTTTAACGATTTAAATGAAAATTTATTGACATACGAAAATGCTCTGTCAGATAAATTTTTCGGAGGTATATTTTCATTTTGTTTTGTAAAACTTGTACGATATATATATCCGAAAAATGAGCACGTCTCAATAGAAATCAACGTAAAACTGGAAAATCTTGTAACTATTCAAACGCTAATCATAGAAGTGCTGGCTACTAACTGAGCTGTTAGTGGCATAGAAAAGTTTAGTTTTAGTTTTCTGATGAAATGAACAAGTTTTCTTGTCTGTTATTGTAGGTGCCTCGCCAGCCATGATTGATTATATGTTGTGGCCATGGTTTGAACGTCTTTCCTTACTGAAGGAAGTCGGTTATGTTTTTAATTCTGAAAAACATCTTCCCCGATTAGCACAATGGATTCATGAGATGGAACAACTAAAACCAGTTAAAGATGTCAAAGTACCTGAAGAAATTACGAAAAAATTTATGGAAAGTTATAAACACGGCAAACCACAATATGACGTCGAATAAACAATGACTGTGAAGATATTAACTTTTTATAAGAAAGTATTTCGATTTGTTTTAATTCGTATTATTTATATAGTTCTTTATGTCAAATAGATAAAACTTTTTCATCAAATAAACACATTATAGGAAAAAATGAAAATTTAATTGAAGTTTTGTTTTAGTCATTAGGAGTGGAAGTATTATTGTTACACATGTATTACATTACCGAGGAAAGTAATACTGTAAGGTACTCCTATTACTGCTAACAGTAATCTTCCATGTATTCCTATTACTAGTAACAGTAGAAAGTATTACTGTTGCTGAGAATAGGAATATTCATAAAATTAGTATTACTTTTCAGTAAAGTAATACAAGAAAATTTATTTTTCAAAAGAATATTCAGAAGATTTTCTAGTGTGTACTTGGAGGAATATTTCTACTAGGAAACTTTGAAAAATCAGACTTTTTTGTCCTGCTGAAAATTTCTACTATCCTTTTCAAATTATGAGGCTTGAGGCTTGTTTGTTGAATAATTCAAGAATGAAAAGAACGAGAGAATTCATGTTTGCATCATCCAAAGAAAACAACTTTGAGACATCTTTTGTTACAGAAAGTAATAGAGAGCTCATATTTGGAACTTTTTTAAATAAATTTCAAAAAAAAAGGTATAGAAAAAAATTAATTATATAACATCGTCATCATCATCATGATCATGTTCTAATTGTTGTTGATTAAACGATCGTTTCCGTTTTGTTTGTTCGATAGACTGGACAGACGATTGTCTACGTTGTTGGTTATACAGGTCGTCATTATTATTAGTCTCTAGTGTATGCTGATTCTGATCATCATCATCATTAGGTCTCACTATAGATGATTTCCTACGTCGCTGATATTGTTTCTGGTGATCACTATTTGTTATTTTCTGTCTCTGATCACCATTGATAGAGAGGGGTATAGATGATTTTCGTCTTTGATCTGGTTGATGGTGTTTATTGTTAGTGGGTTGACGATGATCATCCATAGGTTTAATCAAAGATGATTTTCGACGTTGTTGCTGTTGTTGATTTAAGTCTTGTTCTTGTGTAGGTTTATGATTATTCATTGGTATAATTATCGACGACTTTCTTCGCTGTTGTTCTTGGATGCGATTGTCAATTAACGATGTTTGTCTATGTAGATTATTTTCTATAATATAATGATCTTTACCAAGATAATACTGATGTGGTAAATGGTGACATATTTTTTTATTATTTATATCTTTTACCAATTGCGTATATAATTCAAGAACACGTTCTTTTAATTTATTATTATTTATAATTGATGAAGGTCGTTCTTCTGTTGGTTCCATTCTAGGCGATCGTGCCGATGATTTTAAATCTAAAGTATTAGCAGTTTGAGATTGTTCAGTTGTTGTTGATCTTGGTATTTTTTGTGTTAAATTTTCTTTGAATACGTTGGATTTATTATTATTATTATTATTATTATTAATATTAGTAATAAGAGCTACAAGAAAAAGAAGTCTGTCAATACTTTTAAAGCATTTGAAGATTTTCTTCTGGATTTATGGTAGCACAAGTATTAGTTCAGAGCATAGCAATCAAGTTGTGATACATACGTATTATATGAAGTGGTGGTTCTTCTTCTTTGATAGTGATACAAGGTGTTTTACGAATATTTTTATCCGCTTTATCAATGAAGTTCATAGTTCCATTTGGTGACTCCTGTGGAATAATAATTTTACGATAGGATTGTATTGTGTCTTGGCTATCTTTTCACGAATGAATAAAAGAGAAGATCGTATCCAATCAAATTATTTGCATCAATGAGAAATACATACGAGATACTTTTGCAATTACGTCAATTGTATACATTTCATCTTTAATAGGAGAAACTTCTACTAGAAATTTTTCATTAAAATTTGTATTGGGTATCTACAAACAGAGAAGAAGAACGAATATTTTTCTTTAGATAATCTCACATATAACTATATACACGATGTAATTCTTTATTATTGACATAGACTATGTATTCATCAATAAGAATATCTTTTAAATGATCCCATTCAAGTTTAATCACGCATTCATTTGATTTGTTTTCAACAACAGGAAACGCTTTCAATGGAAATGGTGCACATAATGGTACTTGTACTTTTAGACGATCGGATTGTTTGATATCATCACTATCTTTGAAAAAAGGTTAAAAAAAAGTTGAGAAAAACATTGTTGAAAGAAAAAAAATCAAGTCGTCTATCTTGTTCTCCATCATCGAAAGTGTACGGACACTCATTTTTCCAACAGTTGCAGGAAAAAAGTTTAAACGTAGCAGGAAACGAAGATTCTCGAATTGTTTTTACTCTATAGCCATGTCAAAGAGACAGAAGAACCTGAGTGGTATACCAATTAATAGAATTCGTCAAAGCATATCGACTGGTCTAGTTTGGGATTGGTTTTGAATATTTTTTAGTGGCGCTTATCCGCAAAATACACATTTTTTTCGTTAAGTTTCCCTTTAAAAGAGAAATTATTTCAAAATCAAAAATCCAGATACACATTTTGATTCCTCGTTTAAAGACAAATCGAACGATATATAAGTTAATAATATGTTAGAATTTGATCTAGTTTCGATTACAGTATAGAGAAAATAATCACAGTGGACATTTTTAATGTAAAATCCATTTTTGCAGTCGCACAATGCATTAGCCATAGCTGAATTTTTTATCAAATACTTATCGTTTAAGAAGAAAAAAAAGATATAAGTTAGAGTCTAAACAGACTATTTCTCACCGAGTTATAGAGAAACAAATTTCTAAATCTTGGCGGGCATTTTGTGTGAAAACGATGTTAGAATCTTGTTCAAAAACAATTTTTATTGAAAGAAAAAGGCTACTAGCTTTTTTCTTTCAATTACTCGAAAATATTTTTAGTACATTAGCAGATACTGGAGGTGACTAGGCATACACCAATACAAGATATTGGATCCTGATAATATTGGTTACCCAATCTATTGGAACCGATAATATTCGTCATCTTCGAAAAGCATGTTGCTTTTCTAGTGAAACTTAAGAGTTTCGGAATGAATTCTCTCGAAAACGGTCTAGGCTGTAAAGGCTCTCTTCAGCATTTTGAGAATGTGCAGTTTAGCGTAGGTCTGAACTAACATATTTTTATACCGAAATGTTCCTCGCGAGGCCGTTCATCTATGGTGAATGCGCAAAAGCGCGCATATTTTCCTGGACTGAGATATTGGTTTTCCAAAATTCCTCGGTTTTGGAGGTAAACTGACCTTTTCGCATTGAAAAAACATTTTTTCCTACATGATATATATATATTCGGAATCACCGTGAAAAACTGCAAGGATGCTATATAATTCATCTGGATTCGGTCCTTCCCAATTCCACTTATAAAGTTAATGTCCACCTGCTCTACAGAAAAATACCCACTGTGAATTGGGCATGCACCGATTAATAATCAATTAAGGGGATTCAGCAAAGTCGTTCTTAATCAGTTATAAAAAAGCTCTTAGAGCTGCCGAACGCCGCATTTTGTAAGAAAATGTTTTCTCTACCAAACTGAAGTGCTACAAAAATTTTAATGTTATATATATAGAGAAAACACAATAAATCGAAAACGCACTATAATCATAGAAAAATAATCGACAGTCGCTTTTTTCACAATTTTGCTTAGTTTTGGATGCTTATATTTCTGTCGCAGATAACACTAAAATGTGTTTTTCACTTCACCTTGGTAAAGCAAACATTTTTCTACAAAATGAGACATTCGGCAGCTCTAAGTGCTTTTTTATAACTGATTCAGAACGACTTTGCTGGATGCCCTAACATCGATTGTTAATCAGTGCATGCCTAATCCCGATTGGGTTATACTTCCTCACGGTTTTATGAAGGTAAATGATATTAAGATTAAAAAGATGGAATCCAGTGTATTCTGGAACCCAATATTACTGTATAATATTACTGAGTGACCAATATTATTAGTCCCAATATATTGGGTGACCAATAATTATTGATTCCAAAATATTAGGTGACTTATATTATTGGATTATTGGATAGGGATTTCTAGAAATTCAGCGTACATCTTTGGAAAATTCCGTTTCGGGCCACAAATAATACTAAGGGACAATTAAGATTTGTTAAAAGACTCGAGACGAAAAGAAGGATTTTCTTTGATATGTGGCTATAAAAACACTGTTTAGTGTTGGTTCATATATTTATATCTCGCCAACTAAATGGAATACAAAACTGATTTTTCAGACGTCAATGAGTAAGTTTTAACAAACAAAGTAAAATAATCATCAGGATCCATTCAAGTGGATCGGATTCTATAAGCAAAACATTCACTGAACAGCGACGGTACAATGCCAATACAATTCACTCAGAAGAAAGTTTAAGGGCACCCCCTTCAGAAATGACGACTCTCGGATTTTGAGATAAGCACATACAAAGGTAGCCTGAAGTGTCTACTTTCAGAATACATATGATCTGA